TGAAGCAAGTGACTCGAACTGTCATGCGGTGCTAGGACCTGAGCCATCAGATCACAGACCTTCTCCAGAGTGTTTAAGCCACTGAGGCATCGCGCCTCTTATGGAAATAAAATGAATATATTCTGTTCAGTTTACGGATTTTAATTTCTCTTAAATCAGCCATTTATTGAATTACTTCCTTATCAACAGAATGTAAAACTTTTAAGCCACGTCCTAAGAGATATTATTATATGTATAAATATGGAAAGACTCAGAATTACCTACAGTGGGTATATACCTCCTCCAGGAGCAATACCTGGTGAATATGACAGAATTTGCAAATTGATTTGTTTGATTAAAGAAAAGACAACAAATACATTTATTAGTGACTGGAACACCAGTGAGGTATTTATGGACTTTTTTTTTGCTGAAAATGGGGGGGGGGGGGGAAGGAACTGGTGATTTTTGAATTTGATGATTAGAAATAGAGGAAGAAGAGTAATATTCTTCCAATTATCAGGCATCACAGAAAGATGGTGATTGAGGAAATGATCATTTGATTATAAATCTAAAATTCATAGAATTTCTCAAAGTGATCAAGAATGTAAGAGCATTTTTGTATGAATAGCTACAAGATATTATGTCCAAAAGATGTCCCTAACACAGCAGGTTCTTACAGCAAAAATTAAATTGAGGACTAATTATTATTAAATTACTGCAAAACCGCATGCAGTTCAGAGGTAAAAAGTCCCTAAATAGCAATAAAACCATCAGAGACATTGATCACAAAACCCAACTTGATAGGCATCATATTTAGGATTAAATTTCTTGTGAAACAATGAAAAAGGGAGAAAGAAATCTCCCTTGTACCATTTATGGGATCAGGATTTTATTCAACAAACACTTGTGAAGTTGTTAATGCTTTGTTTCAAATGAACAATATACAGTAGTGCCCAAAATTATGGAAACCTTTTGGGGAAAGTATATTTTTGAGGTTTGATGGCATCACTTTTTTTGGAGTTTCAAGATAATCATATTCCACTGCTGGAATGGCCTGGGAATAGCCCAGACCTTAACCCAATTGAAAATCTATGGAGCCGACTAAAGAAACTTGTTAATTTAATTTAATTTAATTTAATTTCCAATTTATATACCGCCCTTCTCCCTGAGGACTCAGGGCGGTGTACAGCCAAGATAAAAAACATAGAATACAAATATTAAAACATTTAAAAATATATATAAATTTTGGCCCGAAAGTTAAGAATCACAGACTAATTAAAAGAATTTAAAAATTTTAAAAATTTCTTCTTAAGCCAACCCGGCTTGCTGAAAAAGATAGGTTTTCAGGGAACGACGGAAGGCATTGAGGTCCTGGATTCTTCTTATCTCCGGGGGCAACTGATTCCAGAGGGTGGGAGCCCCCACAGAGAAGGCCCTCCCCCTGGGGGCCACCAGCCTACATTGTTTGGCTGATGGCACCCTGAGGAGGCCCTCTCTGTGGGAGCGCACGGGTCGATGGGAGGTCATCGGTAGCAGCAGGCGGTCTCGGAGATAGCTAGGCCCTATGTTAGTCAGAAGCGACCCAGCAATAAAACCTAGTTAATAGAAGCAATAATTAAATCTTGGGTTTTTTAAAATTTATTTAATTTATATGCCGCCCTTCTCCGTTTATGCTGTCACATTATAACAGCTGCAGAACTAAAAGACTTGGTTCACTCCATGGGAAGATGTTGTAAGGACGTACATAATTCATGCTAAGGTTACCCAACTAAGTATTAACTGACCTGATAATTTTTGTATATCTCATTTTTTCTATGTGTTTCACTTTTCTTCTTTATACTATAACTGCTATTCTAACAGCAAATCCTTCATAAAAGTTATTGCATTACATTCTTGATTAAATTATCTTTCTATTAATATATAATTTTATGGTACTACTAAAAAAAAAGTGGTGTTATTAGCTAGTTTTAGAAAATACGCCTTTCCCAAAAGATTTCCACAATTTTGGTCACTACTGTAAATGGATCATTTTACTCATGGGGCAGGCATAGATCTAGCCTTTATACAGATTTAAAGAGTCTTCTAGCCACTCCATAAATAAACATTTTTCCATTTTATAATATTTATTTTAGAATCTATATCAATAACCTTACAATTTTTCTCAATTCTCTCAGCATGTCTTTTATTTATTTATTTCATTTATAAAATGTATTGGCTGCCCATCTTACCACAGGGTAAGTGTAGTACTACACTTTTACTTGGGACCTTGGATAGCATTTATACCACTGAGCTCAATTCCATTCTTAAAACTAATCACCATCATTTCTATACAAATATACTGTATAAAATGTTCCTTTTCACATTTTCTCATTTCAGTTTCATCCAAAATAATCTCATCACTTTTATTTTTAACTTTATTCACCTGTTACTAGAAATGATAGTAGATTGTAGGAGAAGTCCTCCTGCACTACCTCCACTCACAATACTAGACAATACAGTAGCAACAGTAGAGACCTTAAAGTTTCTAGGTTCTATAATATCTCAAGACTCAAAATGGACACCTAACATCAAAAACATCATCAAAAAAGCACAACAAAGCATGTTCTTCCTGCGCCAATTCAGAAAGCTCAGGCTGCCCAAGGAGCTGGTGATACAGTTCTATAGAGGAATTATTGAGTCTGTCATCTGCACCTCTATAACTGTCTGGTTTGGCACTGCAACCAATCAAGGCAAACACAGACTTCAATGGATAATTAGAACTGGAGAAAAAACAATTGCTACTAATCTGCCTTCCATTGAGAACCTATATACTGCACGAGCCAGAAAGAGGACTGTGAAAGTATCTACAGATCCCTCACATCCTGAACATAAACTGTTTCAACTTCTACCCTGAAAACAACGCTATAGGGCACTGCAACGCTATAGGGCACTGCAAGTCAGAGCAACAAGACACACCTCATGCCATCACTCTGCTAACACAACACACAACTAATTCCCACAACACTGTCAAACTATTTAGAAAGGCAGTATTACCATCATTATTCTCATCTTCCCTATTACCTATCTCCTTATCTTCTTACGACTATAACTTCGTTGCTTGTATCTTACAATTTATATTGTTTACTTAGTATCGTAATATGATTTATGTTGATTGCTTATTTAGTATCCATGACTATCACTGTTGTATCTAATGTTTTATGATGAATGTATTTTTACAATAACTATGATAATGATCTATCACTATTGTTGTATGTACACTGAGAGCTTATGCACCAGAGACAAATTCCTTGTATGTCTCATCACACTTGGCCAATAAAGAATTCTATTCTGTTCTGTTCTGTTCTATTTTCTATTCCATTCAATTCCATTCTGTGCACCCTTGTATATTCCAGTAATTCTCTTGGTTTTGTTGTTTTTCCAAGTGTCCAATCAATTCTATGATGTTTTTAGATTTCTCTTTATTCCTTTTCCATGTGAAGAATGAAAAGACCCACAATAAGTATGAATTCAAAATAAGCATAGTTTTTTAATGCAAATACATCACAATTTTTATTCAGTATTGGTCTACAAACGGGCCAGTTTTCTTTGTTCTCATTCATCCATTTATAGCTGTCTCAGAAGAACTTTTATCTTCTCCACCCACCCCAATTACATTCATTTTAAATGTTACAGTTTTTACCAGAACTGATATTTAATTCTACTGTCCCATTCATTTGTATAATAAGCAACCATCACCAATTTATGGATTCCTAGTTTAATTTATACTCACAACCATCAGCTGATAGCAATTGCATATTTTCTGATTTAGGTTTAGCCATTTCATTCATATTTAATTGCACATTTCACTCAACTCCATTCCAGGTAAACCTTTATTCAGCTCTTTTACATTATTTCCCTTTCTCTTAATTTCACAGACACACAATGTGTCTGTATTTCTTTTTCATTTCATTTTTAGATTCCTCCTCTTTGACATTTACTCCCCTTATATTCCAAGCTGCAATTTTTCATACACTATAGTCATCAATCTGCTGTTCATCAATCTGCCATGGTCAATGAATACATACAATGATTTCTAGAAAAATAGAGACAGTCTAGGCTAGGTTCCCAACTTAGTTACTATATATCTGTGGTATATGCAGCATTCCTTGCTAATAGTAAGAGTAGTATTGTTCAGTATATCACAAGCACAACCAGTTTTACACCAAGCATGCTCATGTTTTCCACTCCAAGATATGATATGTAAAAATTACCTTGCAATTCAGTAATTGCCTTCACCACCAATTAAGAGATACAGTATGTGCAATATAGCAATTCACATTCAGAATGCTTCAATTCAGGTTAAAGGGAAAAAAGTCTCTTCATCAGTCATCAGTTTTCTGTGCAGGCAGACTTATCCAATCCCATCATGACTGCCAAGTTCATGCATTGCCTGATCCAGTATGGACTAATATTTAGAATTTGGGAAAGGAGCATTTGTACAGGCACACAGTGTTTCAGTGCTCATCAATCCCTATTAGACAGAAATTGGATTTGACGTAATCATACAATACAGTTTCAAACTTTGTCATTATTTTGGTCCAGAAATGATTACTCATCCCTTTAATTTTTCAAAGCAATCTGGAAGACATTTACAATATGTGCTAAACCCAGTGACAAACACAACTAAGCTTTCAATAATAAATGGCACTTAAAGACGGCAGCCCTGCTGGAATGTGATTGCCCTTATGTCCTACTTGAAGCTTTTCATCAGCCTCTGATCCCCCCCTCATAGGAAAAAAGAGGTTGAAACGGATGTAGCTTGAGAGGAAACCAAAGAGAATGTAATTGAACTCCAAGTGATAAGCTTGTCTTTTCTTCCTTATTCCACAGGTCATTGCCTTTCTGAGTTTCTAGGCTCAGCTACATATCCAAGGAAGGCTTCCTGGAAGGGCTCCAGGTAGAGGTGCACCTCTTCCGGATTTTCACAGACGGCTGTTTATACCCCCGCCTCTCCAGCGAGGGAGCGAGAGTGCGGCGGTTGGTGGTGCTGAAGGGACAGCTCCCTGTGGCGCTCCTCAAGTGAACGCACATCAGGGCGCTGAAGGGGAGGACAGCTCCCCTGTTAAGACAAAGCAGGAACCTGTGGGGGCTGCAAAGGGAGGACCCCCACTGAGCCCTGTGCATTGGAGAGCTGGTGGCAGCGGCAATGATTCTAACGGGAGCTCTCTGAGTCCTTCCGCTCTTCACATTGCTGCTGCTGCTGCTGCTGACAAAAAAGCAGCCACTGGCCTGGGGCGCCACAACATCTAAGGAGGACGGTGCTGAATGGACAGCACCTATTGCTTGGTTTCAGGCATCTAGGTAGGTCTGTGTAAATGTGTGCGCGGGCTTCTGTGTGTGTCTGTGTGTGTGTGTGTGTGTATGCGTGTGTATCTGTACGTTAGGGTGGGGGAACCCATAAAGGCTACTAGCAAGGGGATTCCAAGGTTATTTAATAATCCTGGCAGACAGGTAACCAGACGAATCTGAGTTCAGAAGTGGAGAAGGAAGTCACTTGGCATCAGGATCAAAGTGCTGGCTCAGAAAAGTTCTTTGCTGTTTTAAGCTACGTGAATTAAAGCCAGAAGAACCTTTTCTTGGAGAAATACAGTGCCTAAGTTTGCATTTCACTAGAGATGGTGAACGGGTGGCATGTGTCTGTTTGTGTGTGTGAGTATGCGTGTGTGTGTGTGCATGTGTGAAAACCAGGACTGCTGCTAGGGAACAGAACGCTTTGTGTATTGGTTTCTTTACTGCAGTCATTCTTTTTCTTTTCTTTAAAAAAAAAAAGAACCCTGTCTTTTAAAGATTTGTCATAGAGTGTTTTATGTATGTGTCGTACATCGATTTGTTTTGGAACAGAGAGCGAAGCCTAGAGACACTGTAAGAAAGGCAGGGTGGGGAGGAGGTGAGAAGTAGTCATAGGAAAGCATCCATGTTTGGGTGTCTGGAAGGGAACGTTTGGTAGCTTCATTTTATAATGTGAACTGACTGCACAGTCACACCAGCCAGCCAGCCAGAAAGAAGAAAGCAAAAGCTTGTGGCTGTGTGGCGGAGTTCCTTCCCCGTGCACTGCTGGAGGCTGGGCAGCACTTCAGCAGCTGCTTGCAGCATTTCCTAATTATGTGTATGTCCAGATAGCAGCTGAGAAGATTTGTGGCTTTCAATGCTAAATTAGAGCATTGTTCATGATCTCTATTGCAGCAGATTAGAATAGTCCTCAACTCCCCACTATTATTCAATAATATTGCACAATCATTAGTAATAGTAAGAAGGACATCCTGCACAGAAGAGGGACTCTGGAACGGCAGACTTTGAAATGAATCCCCCCCCATGTCTCTACTTAAAGTAAGCTCACTAGTCAATGGAATACACTTCCAGGCAATTGTGGAGAGAACTCAAGCCAGGAAGTCTAGGAGCTGCCAGGAAAATAGGCAGGGACAGAGGAAGAGCCAGTCTTACCCATCAAACTCTGGAATCATATCTGAGGCTCCAGTGGCATCTCTGAAGTATAGCAGAGAGATCCTCTTTCCTTGGAAAGAATCTCTTTGCACCCCAGGCTGAGCGGGGAGTGAAGAGGACAAGCAGGAGAGGGGATGGCCTCCAAGCAGAGGGAAAGGAGAATAAGGGGCTTTGGGAGGGGTTTGCCTTCCCAACAGTGAACTGGCAAAGGAGGTGTGGAACCTGACATGACTGGGAAAGAGCAAGTGGAGGGATGAGGTTGCTGATGGTAATGCATGTTCTCTTCTTGCTCTCCCCTGCAGGAATGTAATCCACAATGCTAGTGCTCAGGTTTCTCAATGTGGTCGCTCCAGCCTACTTCCTCTGTATCTCCTTAGTGACCTTCGTCCTCCAGCTCTTCCTCTTCATTCCAAGCATGTTCAAAGACCCTTCCACCACCCCACTTTTCTCCTCTGCTCTGCTGCATGGGGCTCTCTTTCTGTACCTCTCAGCTAATGCTTTGGGCAACTACATCCTGGTAATACAGAACTCACCTGAGGAGGACCTGGGGAAGGGCCCAGGTTTGGCTGGAGGAGCCAAAGGGGTGGCTGAGCAGCCAGATGGAAACAGGTCCCCTGCTTCAGCCCTGCCTGGCACTCACTTCTGTAGACTGTGTGCCCGAACCACCCAGAGGCATGACCACCACTGTTTCTTCACAGGGAACTGCATTGGAAATAGTAATATGCGGAACTTCATCATGTTCTGTCTGTACACCTCCTTGGCTTGCCTTGATTCCCTGGTGGCTGGGGTGGCTTATATTTCTGCTGCACTCTCAACTTCCTTTGCCAGCCCACTGGCTTTCCTAACTCTTCTGCCTCATTCCATTAGCCAGTTCTTCTCAGGTGAGTATCATCACTCCTTTTTCTCCTCTTGCAACAATTCCTTGGTTAGTGTGTGTGTGTTTTAACAATATATGGAAAATTGTCATGGTTCCTTTGTTTATTAAATTTAAGATTTAAAAAAGGGGGAGCACATCTGCAATGTTCACATTGGGATGATAAGGGAATAGGACAATGTTGGGTTTTTTTTTTCTCCCACCAATCTCTCTTGCAGTGATAACATTCAGAGTCATATAATCAAGCTGAATGGCAGGAGATGCAGGATGGAGAAAAGAAGACATAATTCAGACGTTAAATTATGGTTGCAGTCAGAAACTATAGTAATAGTCAGCACTTTGGATGGTTAAAAAAGGAAGGACACATTCATGAAGAATAAGAATATTCGTAGCTTCTCCTGATGGTTGATAAGGCTGATTGCTATTTGCTACCTTCAGTTTCAGAGGAGTAAACTCCTGATACCAGTTGGTTGGGAATATGAGTAGGAGGTGATATTGTACTCATGTTCTGCTGTGAGTTTCCCATAGACACTGGTTGTCCTGTATGGCAACAGAATGCTGGATGGGATAAGGTTGGCCTGATCCCTCAGAGTTCTTCTTATGCTTTTGATAATACTACCTTGTAACGAAGTTTAGCCAACACTGAAAATTCCTAGATTTCATGAAATTCCTTGAGGTGAATGCATGCGTATTCGTTCAATTGTACATGTGAAAGCTTTGAAAGGTGGTGAAATATGGCCACACAGCACTCAAATGTTGACAAGAGTATTAACAATATAATTGCTTTCAAGGAGAACTTGTTCCTCAGAGTGTGATTGAGAGAATTATCATACAAGTAGGCAACATGCAGCTGCCACTTCGTGGCAACGTGTTTTTATTTTATTATTACAAAGGAATAAGAAGTGTTTTTTAACTTCAGATACCAATAATATTTGGAGACTATGTACTTGAGGAGTGTGAAGACTAATTATATTGTATTACCTCAAATAGCAAAATGTCTAGCAATGTCCTGTTCATACCTACCCATTACACACGATCAGAATTAAATGTATTAAAAATGAAGAATAAAAAGCATAAACCTGCACGAGCCCTTTAAAACCCATTAACTAAATTACTTGGTAAGACTTAAACTGAGGAGGTACATATAGAATGGCATTATTTAGTTCCTCTTCTTGATAAATTTGTTAGGATTAAACCTTTTTAAAAGTGAAACTTCTGAAGAAACATGCACAGGATTGATGTGCATAGCACGTATATATCAATTGGAGTGTTCAGCTATTTTAACATGAAATAAATTTTGATTTTGAACTTCATGGCCAGTACCAGATTTTGTTCTAAAATTCCTCCAACCACGGCTCTTAATAAAAAATTCCAAGAATCAAAGCACAGAAAATAATGAAGAATAAGGGATACTTTGCACAATATATTTTGGTTCAGTTCTGAAAATAACTGGGTAAAAAAAAATATTTTCTCTTTTGATAGACTTGTTGTCTGTATAATCTTTCTATATTTTACTAAAGCTTACGGAGGGATGGAAAATGGAAAGGCTTATAAAGAATGGCAGGAAATAACATGATTATACATGATATCCATTGGCTGATTGACCTAGATCCGTGATGGCGAACCTATGGCACGTGTGCCACAGGTGGCACGCGTAGCCATATCAGTGGGCACACCAGCTCAACTCTGGTGCGCATGTGCCCACTGGTCAGCTGATTTTTGGGCCTTCTGGGCCCACCAGAAATAGGGAAACAGGATGTTTCCTGCCTCCAGAGGGTCTGGGTAGGGGTGGGGAAGGCCCATTTTTCTTTCTCACCTGGCTCCAGAGCCTCTCTATGCATCTGGGGAGGGCGAAAAGAGAGGCTTTGGAGGCTGGGGACAGCAGAAAACGTCACTTCCTGTCCAATCAGGAGTTGGGAAATGGGCCATTTCAGGCCTCCGAAGGTCCTCCGAGGGGGTGGGGAAGGCTGTTTTCGCCCTCCCCAGATGCATAGAGAGAATCTGGAGCCAAATGGGAAAGAAAAACGGGCCTACCGGGCCATTGTGTGCCAGGAGCGGGGGGGGAGGGGGTTGCGCACGCAGGGCAGGGCGCATAGAATTATGGGTGTGGGCACGCACGCACGCAAACCTCCCCCACCCCACCCCCTCCTGGCACGCGATGGCAAAAAGGTTAGCCATCACTGACCTAGATATTGGCTAATATCCATTGGCTGATTGACCTTGTGTTCATGAGGATTCTTTATTGTTTTATCATGAGTAAATGGTCCCAATCTGATTGTTAGATACCATAATACATTTGAATCATATGATCATAGGGATAGAAGTGACCTCAGAGGTCTTCTAGTCTAACCCCTTGTTCAAGGTAGGAACCTTATACTATCCCATGAAACATTGATTAACATGCCAACTCATGCCATTCTGTAAACTCTGGAATGCATTATGGTTAATTCCTCAAAGAAGATCAGAAAGCTTTTTTTTTAAAAAAAAATAGGAAGATGGATCAGTTTCTTAAATTAACATTTTGCCAAGTTTTCCTGAGGTTTCCCCTCTACTCACTCTTACACAGTGGAGGAAAAAAGAAAGAGAAGATTTACAATGATATGAGCCATTACATTTTTAAGGCAAAATAATCATACATTTGCTTAAAAATTAGGCAAGTTATATATTCCTGCAAATTTAGAAATTATGACTATTATGTAAATACATCTTATCATAATGGCCAGATGGCTTGCATGCCTGCTCAATCTAATGCCAGGGCTCAATGTTAATAGACAACTGCAAGACCTCTGGTTCTCCTGTTAAGAGTTTATAAACTGGAGCTGGTCTGGACATCTTTTCAAACATATTATTTCAAATAGGAATGTCTTCTACCAAAATAGGGCATGGGGCTACTCCGAGATCTTTCTTAACCGTAATTGCCTGATACAGTGCTTGTGATTCTCCATTCTTCATCAGACCTCTCTTGAGGGTAGAACGGTATAGCACTATCGTGCCTCTGCTTGCATTAGTCATATTATGAGCTTCAGCGTGCTTTCTGACACTTGCAAGATTATAGGATCTGCTTTAATTAAAATAATGATGTAGCTTCCCCGAGAATCTAATGACAGGAAGAGCCTTGACAGGGGAAGAGAACCAAATTGTGCTGTCACTAGAAAGTTTCTTCTTTCTTTCACAGCACCTTCTCTCAGATATTTGAGACATGAATTATTCTGATGCAGAAATATATGTAATTGTGTCATCATTTATTACAGTATTTGTATAGCATTAGTTCCAATTTGGCTCCTGGCTGTTTATATACTTATAAAAAGCTGAAAAGCATGTAATTTTATCTTCAGTTGTGATAAAATACAATTGCTCTAATTCTCCACTGTAAGTGACATCATAGACTGAATGTTGATGGAAACAATTATATTTTGACTACCCTTTTGAAAGGGTACCAGTCAAAAGGTGCCATTCACATTCCATGGAACGGCAATCCCACAGAGATTGAGCACATACAGAAAAATATTTCTAATTCTTTCTCCTGATATCTAATATCTCTAAGAAGGGAAGCAAGCACTCACTAGGTGATTGACCCTGCATGACTCATGCAATCCTGAAGATACTAAGATACCAACCATATAGTTCTTTATAAGAGAAAACCAACATTTCAATTTACCCTTGGAAGTCTATTGGCAACTGTAGCACCCACATTGGTTTCATATCATTCTAGTGACTCTTAGTCACCAGAAAATAGGATGTTGCATTCTTAACTGATTGCTAATTCTAGATAGTCTTCAAGATACATTGCTGTAATCTAACCAAGAGTTGATAAGGACATGAGTAATTGCTACCCATGCCTCCTGCTTTAGGTTGGGCTACAATTGATGCAGACCATCCTAACCATGGTCTTCAATTGCCTATTTAGCAGTAGCTAAGAGTTTAGAAAGACCCAGAAACCATGAACCTGCTCTTTCAGGGAATGATAGCCCAACCAAGTTATAACAGAACCAAATGAGAATGATATGGTTTCTGGGCAAACAGCATCTCTGTCTGTTGTTGTTCTAGAATCATTACTATTATTAACATAATAATATGTTAATAATGTATTAATCTGGCCATCCACCTCACTAACTGAGATTCCACTCCACTATCCAATCTAGCATGTGACTTCACATTGTTCACCTTCAGCCACAACAATTCCATATAAATTGCTGCCTTGTCAGTACATACCAGGGACTTTTCACAAGTCAGAGCTCCAAGCTTGGCATGATCAGAAAAATGTCTTGAAAATGGTTGAATCTGTGAAAAGAGCCCACACCTTTCAAGATTTTCTCCCTACATAGACAAATCCCAGGAACAGTAATACAGATCATTTTCATAGTAGGAATAGCAACATCTTGAGAAGCTGCACTCTACTAGCTAGATCCAATGAAAGAAATAATGCTTATGCATTATCTCTTATGCTTATGCATTTATTGTATAGTAACCCAGCTGAAACAATAAGTGAAAATTAAAATTAGAAAAATTTCAGCAGCTTTCTCCAACTGAATGCCTACACCCCTTATGTGCTAAAGTAAAATTTCCTTGTTTGCAGATTGCAGTAGTAGGAGTTGAAGTCCAGTTCAACTGCAGGGCATAAAACTGAGGAAAGCTGAGTTAGAAATTGGGTAGCCAAGAATGGATTTCAAAGCTTAGAATGGAATACAAAGACATCATCATGAGTTGGCATTTCTAACACCATTGTTAGCAACACTTGCTATGATCATCATGAAATCGCCCCGTATCCATCTGGAAGAAAATTATATTCCGATATTAAAGTGTAGGGAAGCTATGCAGACCATGCCATATCAAGCTTTTATAAACTTTACTCAGAATGAGTCATCAGTTTAAAAATTAATCTGTTTATTTGCTTACTTCAACAAGATTAAATAGCTGCATGTATTTTTCAGTAAATGGAGTAGAGAAGATTTATACTGTACTTGGAGGAGGTAGCAAAGCAAATGACTTCCCCGCTGCTGAAGATTA